GGAAAAATGATCCCCAAAGTATGAGGGCTGGAAAAGTGAATCCTCAGATGGTGTAAGGAGACACTGGTGGCCACAGGAGGACCAGGAGGGATATGAGCACTGTGGATACGAAAACTTTAATCAGAGCTCAAGTTTTGGTAATCACAGGAAACTAAAAACTTGAATTCCTACTTTGCCCCTTAAATGCATTTATCATGAATTCTAGTCTCATATTTAAACCGAACTGTTATATCACAAAAGGTTGGACCTGTCACTATCTTGTTGCTTTCATGTACTTATTTTGCAAATGAAATTTTAAAAATTGATCTTAGACTTGTGCTGGGTTCGCTTGAGGAGGAAATGAAATATTGAATAGATTGTTGTTGCCAAAGTGTCACTGCTAGACAGCTCCTGAGATCCACACCATGTTGGAACTTAGGACGCTATGAAACCAAACAATCAGCCTGCCTCCCTGCTAAGCGATAGTGAACCTACTGATGCACGGCCTAGAGTCAAATATCCCACTTCCCCTACCCTCCTTCTTCTGTCCCCCCATTGTCAAATGGGAACCAGAAATCTGAGTGTCTCCTGGGAGGTTGACCATAACAAATAAGGGGGACTTCCTTCTACCATCTATTTGAAGGCAAATATTTTTATTACTGTTTTGCTCTTTTCTGATTAATGGTACTGTTCTATTTAATATTCTGTTTTGATAAGTTCTATAGTGTTCTATATTTCATCTCATTTGACATATGTGATTGAAAGAACAATTATTATAAAGATAACAAAATATACTGTGATACCTACACTGTTATTCCGGTAACCTGCTGTGAAGTTCTGTACCAATTTTACTGTATGATCTTAGTTGGCTTTATTCTGTCTTGTTCTGCTGTATACTTTCAAAATAAAATTTAAAAAAAAAAGTGTCACTGCTAGAGATCGGGAAGGGCAGGGGAGGGGAGAAGACAGGAGGACTCGGCTCCCATGTCCTGCGGCACAGGAGGTGAGTGGGGCTAGGGAGACCTCTGCTGCGGGCTGGGAAGAACTGCCCGAGGGCAAAGGGAAGAGCCACACAGACATGGAACTGCTGGGCACCCTGAGCTGACCAGCACCCTGTGAGCTGCGGTGTCACACTGTACCCCATAATTGCCTACAACTGTTACTCATTAACCAACAATCAAAATAAGCACTGTCTATGGAAGTAAAGAAAAAAGGAACAGGGAAGCCGGGCACTCTGGTTAAAGAGGATGGGAAAGGGCAGCATCTGCAATCCTGTCTCTCTGAGAGGCTGAGGCAGGAGGGTGACAAATTTGAGCCCAGCCTGGGTAATTTAGCAACTTAGTAAGACCCGGTCTCAAAAAAAGTTTTGTTTTGTTTTTTGATACCAGGGATCGAACGTCACACACTTGCAAGGCAGGTGCTTCTACCGCTGAGCTGAATCCCCGGCTGGTCTCAAAATTTTAAACAATAATTTTTTTATAAAGAGGATATGAAAAGCAGAAACACTTCATAGAAATTTGGTTTGTTACTCTTGCTTCTTATGTTTATTAGGGAAAAATTAGAACAAGAAAAAAAGAATTATCAACAATTCCACTACCTAGAGAACTACTAGCAGACTGTGGATTTCCAAACCCTAAAGGATTCTTCAGACAAATTCAATCAGCGCGGTGGAATCTCTTCTCAGCTTTGAGTGAGGCCGGAAAGCTGAAGACCAAGAGTCAAGCACTGAAGGCAATGTCACCAAATCCGGGTGACCAGGCGCCCGTGGTCAGAAAGAGGAAACAGAGGTCAGCAACTCCCGGGAGAGGACCAGATTGGAGGCCACATAGCGATGGGAAACAGAACCGGAATTCCTCCAGCAGCTCCTCCGGGGTAGCAGCCTCTACTCTTGGCTCAAAGAGAAGAAGAGTTGGTATCATTAAAATAATTAAACTTTGGTTGTGGCCATGTTGTTAAACTGATGAGACTTCGGTTCTGAATTTTTGGTTGCTAATTTTGACTACTGTAAAAATACTATTTGAAATTTACTTTGAGTCATCGGGACAAAAGAAAAAGGACACTGTTTTGTGCTTCTTCCCAATTACTTGGCACACTCTCTACATGTCTGCAAAGATGAGAATTGCAAACTGAACGCATTAAGCACTTGCTAACAGATAACACATATTCTCATTGTAAATAGAGCTAGCTGGTCATGGTGGCGCATCCCTGGAATCTTGGCACTCTAGTGACTGAGGCGGGAGGATTGCAAACTTAAGCCCAGCCCAGGTATCTCAATGACTTAGTGAGACTCTGTCTCATAACTAAAAAAGAAAGCAGGGCTGAGGATATTACTAAGGACAAAGGCCCTGGGTTCAACCTCCAGCACTATGAAGTGTGTGTGTGCGTGTGAAGCTGGAATGAAAATATAAAAGAGTAAGGGTTGTGGTACCTCCTCATACTTCTCACCTTTGACTTTCTTGGGTCTCCAGGGCAAGATAAAGAGCATGACCATCAGGGCAAACTTCTTGCCAGTACTCACTGTGACCCAGGAGACGCAACCAGCCACACTACCACACACTGGGCCATTGGGGAAGCCTCGGTGTAGCTGCACAGGTCCAGAGAAGCCTGCCTGCACCCCACTGCAGAGAACCAGATGCAGAGAACCTCAGGTGCCTGGCCCATTCCCCTACATTGCAGATGGGCAGCCAATGTAGGAGGCACCTGGAACCCCACAACCAGCTCATCCAGAGGAACCCAGGAAAATGTCAAGACGAAGGAGCAAAATCCATTCTCAGACCTGACCTCCAGCCCACACAGAACAAGTCCAGGAGACATGGACATAGAACAAACTAGTAGCTACACATCTGACATTTCTGAAATGATAGCAATTGAAGTAAAGAAACAATTTCATGAAGCCATTAGAGAAATAGGATCAGAAATATCTCGGAGGGGCTGGGGATTTAGCTCAGTGGCATAAGCACCTGCCTTGCAAGCAGGTGGTTGTGAGTTCGATCCCCAGTACCGATAAAAAGATAAAAAAAAAAAAAAAAGAAATAATATCTCAGGTAAAAGAAGAAATGACAATCATAATGAATTGCTGAGCATATCAAAAGAAAACATAGATTTTGGAGCACTGGAAAATGATGGAAATCTTGAATGAACAATATAGGAAAGAATTATAATACATGAAACAGATTGAAAGAGATATCGAGGAAATTAAAAACTCCATTGGAAACTGGCAGAACCACTTCAAAGAAACTGATCTTGAAGACAGAATTACAGCTAGCAATCTCAAAAGGAAAGATCTCTTAAAAATAACAAGGAACCAGGAAATAACAGTTCAATGGCTGCAAGATGACGCAAAGAAAAATAATTTAAGACTAATAGGTGTCAGTACAAAAGCAGGGGTCAACACAAATGACATCAAAAGAATAGCAGGAAACTTCCCAAGCATGGGCAAAGGACCTGACATACAGGTAAGTGAGGCACACAGAACTCCAGCCAGCCAAAACCAAAGCAGATCTGTGCCCAGACATAATCATCAAGACCCTAGAAATTCAACACAAGGACAGAATATTGAAAGCTGCTAGAGAAAAGAAACAGATCACCTACGAAGGAAATCCAAACAGAATCACAGCAGTCTTCTCAACACAAACCATCAAGTCAAGAAGAGGTTGGAGTGAAGTGTTTCAAGTCCTGAAAGGAAACAAATTCCAACCCAGACTGATGTACCCTGCAAAGCTATCTTTCAAATTAATGGTGAAATAAGATATTTCCATGACAAAGAACAGAGAAATTCATGTCCACCAAATCAACCCTACAAAGAGTAATGAAAAATATTCTAGAAAGAGTTAGAAATGACCACAGTGACGAGAAAAACAGCAGAAAGAAATCTCCAGGCAGCGCAAGCAAACAGTGAAAAAGTAGGAAACCAACAGCAGAAAACATGACAAAGATAAGCCAATAGATATCAGTCGTAACCGTTAGTATAAATGGCCTCAATTCACCAATCAAAAGAAACAGAGGCAGAGTGGATCGAGAAACAAAATTCATCAATATGCTGGATACAAGAAATACATTTAATTCAAAAGGAAATTCATAGACTTAAAGTCAAAGGATGGAAAACAATGCTCCAGGCAACAGGAACTCAGAAAAAAGCAGGCATGGCTGGTCCATCAAGGGCAGAAGGAACAAGAAAGATACGGTGTTTTCCACACTCAGAGGCTCTGGTGCCATCGGGGAGCCCTGTACCTCGCCACCACTCCAGGAACCCAGTTTGGAGGAAGTCCGGTGCCTCGTCCAATCCCCTACACCGAGGGACTGGCAGGAAGCACCCAAGATGCAGCATGGGCAGATGAAGAGAAACACAGGAAGATGTCAAGACGAAGGAGCAAAATCCAGCCTCAGGCCTCCAGCCCACACGAAACAAGTCCAGAAGACACAGATGGAGTAGACAAAAGGTCACATACCTGAAATTTCTTGTATTGTTTGCTTCCCTTTCCATGTCCATGTTCGATGGTGTGGGCAGCTATTTTTTGTCTTTTTCATTTTTATCAGTACCAGGGATCGAACTCACGACTGCCTGCTTGCAAGGCAGGCGCTTATGCCGCTGAGCTAAATCCCCAGCCCCTTGGGCAGCTATTTTTAAGATAACAAGAGGCATTATGGTGGCCATTGTTGATTTTCTATTATCTTGTTTTAAACTCCTGTACCATTTTCATTGTTTTGTTTTGTTTGGGTGCATTCTGTTTTGTTCAGTTTATTATGTCTGATGCTCTGGATGACTGTCTTGAAGATAACAAAAGGCCTTATGACAGCCATTGCTGATTCCCTGTGACCTTGTTTTGAAGTTCATTATTAATTTTATGCTTTGGTTTGGTTTTATTCTGTTTTGTTTAGTTTGGCTTTGATCTCTTTAAAATGACCCTCGGTTGGTTGTGTCTGGCTGTGGGGGTCTCTGAGTGCCCCTCGGCCTCTCCTTGGGTCCTTTCCCTCCCTTCAGTGAAGGGTAAGAAGTAGGGCTCTTAGCCGAAAGGGGGCGTCAAGGCTGGTGCCGTGCAGAGCAGAAGTTTATCTGGAGTGTGACAAATGCAGAGAAAGCAGAAGAGACACTGTCCACTGGCAGAGACAGGGTCCCTGCTGGAGGACACTTCACACGACAGGACAGGAGCTGCTTTCTAAGCACAGCTGGCCACGGATTGTTGGTGGAGGCTGACCAGGGCCTCGGCCTTTGTTTCTGGAAAGGGGCGAGGTGAGTGTAAGTGAATGTGGGTGACACTTTGTGCAGGGCTCCTTTTCCATGACAGGGCCACTTTCCAGCCCCAGAGCACCGTCGGGGTGGGGGCTCTCTTCAGGTGGCACCAGTTTCCTGGCCCTAGGCCATTGGGAAATGTTTCCAAATGTGGGTTACTCCTTTATTCCCAGCAGCTGTCTGCATTTGAAGGGTTTTGAAAGCTAGCTGATTCCAGAAGGGTTATTCGCAGGGAGGCAGCCCGCTCCCCCTGCTAGTTCACCCAGATTCCCACCGCTCAAGGGCCCTTTCTGCAGCTTCCTGCCTTGGCCTCTCGAAGATCTGTGATCTGTGTGCAGCTGCTTCCTGGAGCCATTGCACAGGTGTTCCCAGGCACCCTGTTCACTCACGTTCTCTTCCGCTCCGGGTCCCACTGTGACCGTGTCACCCGCAGCTTGCAGAATGTGCAGTCACATGTCACTTCCTTTCTCACATGACTTTTTCCTGGGGTTTGTCACCACACATCCTCACTATCCGCTCGCCCCTGTGTACCCAACTGACACTCCCCACGCATCCCCCACAGCGATACCCACTCTTGCTTCTCACATGCCTTCCGTGGCACCATCCTTCTTCAGGCCCTCTGTTCCCAGGCTCACATGCCGAACCTGCTCTCCAGGAAGGGGCAGGGTTCACTCCAGGTCTCCTTTTGTTACAGGGTGAACCCCAAATATGATACAAGGGAACTATTATAACTCCCAACCGTTAGATGTCTGATACACAGAGGTCGTGCTCTCTAAAAACCGAGAATGAAACCTAGGAGCAATGGGGGTCAAGAGTAGCAAGATTTTTATTGAGAGGCAGAGACACAGCTCCTGAGAGGCAGGAGGAGGCCAGCAGGTTGCCTGGGTCCCCACCTCACAGGGACATTTTACAGAGCAGCCCCGCGTGGGTGCAGCGTGGGCTACAGCATGATTAACCAGTAAGGATCCACATATAGTTGCCTAGAAAGTAGTGACCCAACAGGAAGCAAGCCATGGAGCGAGCAGACATAGGAAAGACAAAGACTTTCAGGAAACCAGGGTGCCGCAGGTCTTGGTCACCCACCTGGTGGCTGTGTCTGTCTGGCTCCATTAGGCCTGGAGCTTGACTCAGAGGAAGCGTACCGGCCAGTCATCGAGTCTTTACGTGGAGGCCTGGTCTCTGACATGCGTGTCCAGCCACAGTGGAGCAGTGTTTCCCCCTGCCCTGTGATCCCCAGGGCCCAGCCCTCTCTGACTGCTGGGAATATTTCAGCCTCGCTTAGATGTCTGTAACACTTCTGGGTCCTCCCGGGGCTCCCTCCTTTTCCCTGGACAGGGGAGACCCAACATCCTCTTTCTTTTTGACTTTGTTCCTGTGCCTTATGAAGCAAGCACATTCCCAGCAAGGTGTGTGTGTGTGTGTGTGTGTGTGTGTGTACGTGCATGCGCACATACACTCAGGCTACTGGGGATTGAGCCCAGGACCTCTGCACTTAGCTGCATCCCCAGCCTTTTTTATTTTTATTTTTTACTTTGAGACAAGATCTTACTGAGCAGCTGCGTTATCCAGTAGTTCCTTTACAAATAGCTCACCAAGCAAATTCCACGTTGCTTTTGCCTTGAACAAAGAATTGGACCAGACAAACCAAAAACAGTGCCAAAAGTTTATTTGAAAAGCAAGGGATGAAAAGGGAAGAGAGGAACTGGTTCTGCAGAGAGAAGTTGGGCTAAACCAAAGAAAGGAAGGAATAAAAGCCAAAGTGAAAGTGAGCCTGTGTGTGGGAGGCAGGGTCCTGCTGGTGGCTCCCCTCTTTATATCATCCAAACCTCACAGGAACCTACAAGAAGTTGGGGTTATAGGAATCACTTGGGCCTGTCCTGGGATCTTGTAATTGATGGGTTCCACTCATTCCCCAAGCCGGCTTTGCCATGCCCTACCTCCTATCTCTGCTAAGTTGCCCAGGCTGGATTTGGATTTGCAATCTTCCTGCCTCAGCTCCCAGACTGCTGGGATAACAGGTGTGTACCACCACAATCCCCATCTGCAGTTGTTGAAAAAGTGTGTATGTTTTGTACAACTCTTTTCTATGTCTAGCTTTTTTTTTCCAGAAACATTCTCAATATGCAGTGTAGACTGATCAGGACTCACTATGTAGCCCAGTCTGGCCTCAAATTCAAGGCAACCCTCCTGCCTCAGCCTCCTGAGTGCTGGAGTGACAGGCGTGTGTCACCAAGACAGGCTCACTTGTAGCTCTTTTTTTGTGGCGTCTCTTTAGAAATGTTTATGAGCTCTGTTTTGTCCTTTGTGAACAGTTTCTCAGGATGTGCATCTGCAGTGATCTTTTAAAATCCACTATGGTGGACTATCACTACAATCTCCATTGAAAATTTTTCTGAATTTGCTAATCACTGCTGTTTTTTCTTTCTTTCTGAAACTTAGCATTTTGATGCTACACTGTCTTTCATTTTCTTACTTTTCTTATTCTCCATCTCTTTTTCATTTCCAGTTCTACTTTCTGAGATTTTCTTCCCTTTCACTTTCCCATCGCCTACTTCCCGAGTCTTCCAGGGACACGTCCACTTCTCGGAGGCTTTCTGCTCTGCGAGTTCAGGTTGAATTTTCCGCCTAGTCCTCACGTACCTCCCTCCCCAAGCTTCACAGTTTAGTGCATTATCTCCTCTCCCATTTTCCTGGTCCTGCTAGGATAGGGGTTTTGGGGTCACTCTGCTCTGGTTTTAGGAGAAGCACCTACAGTGCAGGGGTGTAGTTCACTGTGTGGTCAGGACCCCTGTCCCTCACCAGTTCCTGCTCACTGGCGCAGTCTTGCTTCTCACAGCAGCACAGACACCTTCAAATTACTGGCAAAAGTCAAGAACAGAAAGGAAAGGCACAAAAGTTCATGTTTCAAGATGTTATCTTATAATACCTCCCGCAGGCAGAGCCACCTCAGACTGGCTCATAACAATAGATGGTTTTATTTTCAGAAAATTAGGGAGCCACTTGTTAAAAGATTATTAAAAATTAAGTATGCTCACCACGTTCATTACCTTGTGCAGTGAAATAAATTATATTTAAAACAAGGGTGGCAATGCCTGAAACCCAGCACTCCTGAATGTTTCAGTGAGTGCACTGTAATTACTTTCTTACAGGTGCTTCCACGGAGTGCGTCTTTGTGCTGGAAATATCATAAAACGTGTGCCACGTACCCTTCTGAACCCACTTTCAGTGAAGTCATATCAGTAGCTTCAGAGTGGTGATGGCGGAGGTATTTACACCACAGAAATCAGAAAACACTGCTAACAGGGGACTGATACTGTTTCTTTCACTGCCTATACTCAGAGTGATAGAGTAAATGTTAATAATGCAGATTAAAGTTAAAAGTGTATGTGCACGTAGCAATTAGGTTGCAGCACCAAAAATTAATGAAGCCAGGTGTGGTGACACACTCCTGTAATCCCAGCCCTCAGGAGGCTGAGACAGGAGGATTGCTGCCAGTTTGAGGCCAGCTTGGGGTACAAAGTGAGTTCAAAACCAGCCTGTACTACACAGGGAGACTCTGGCACAAAAAAGAAAAAAGAAAAAAGTGGAAACACTGCTTGATTTTATAGCAGTCGGTGAAGAACTGACTGGGTATAGTCCGCTCTTTGCAGCTCTGCCATTCCTCTTCCTTTTCTAATTTTCATTTCCCTTGTAAATGAAAATACCAATCAGCATTCACGTGGGAGCTGCCTTCACGTGGCAGTGGCAGCTGTGGTTGGCTGTAGGAACCAGCGTTCACCAAGAATCAGTGGACTCCTGTGAGAATCAGTTGGCCATAAGGATTTTACAGTGCAGAGAATTCCACATAGTATGATATGTGAGTTGCAGATTAGGCCTCTTTTATGTTGGTAAAATACAGTGCACACTGCACATGGATTTGAGGACTGGTGGTTACACATTTATCAGTGGACTCCGCCTGACTCATCTCCTGTCTATGTCCTGGGGAATCGTAGCTGTTTGTCTGCTTCCCTGAGACTGCTGCAGAGTCTGTTACGAGTGGGCACCCATACATATTTCCTGAATGGGTAAAGGAATGCTCAGAAACCTTTCCTCCCAACAGGCGGTGCCTGACTCAGAGGAAGCCCTGAGACAGGGCTGAACCGGCCCCATCCTCCTGGTGCTGAGAACAATCCCAGCACAACGCTGAAAGCGCGGGGTGGTTTACTCTTTCAGGCACCAGGCGGCAGTCACATGCTTGTTTTTATGGCTGATTTGGAAGTTGAGTCACTTGTCTCAGTAAATCCAAGAAGAAAGCCAGATCTCCTGCTTTTAAAACACTGCCCTATTCATCAGACTTCCCTTTTCTCCACAGGACCCACAGGAGTGCTGGGCAGCAGCGCTGGGCAGGAAAGCTGCTTTCTTGCATTATGGCTGTGAGATTTTTATTGAAAACATGGCAATAAGCAGATCAGAAGGAATCAGATAAAGAAAGTACATAAGTTTAATGAACAAACACCATGATTGTCACAGAATCCAGATCTACATCCAGCTTCGTTTCTCTCAGCAACCCTACATGGTAGGAATTATCCTGATGCTGTAAATGAAGTTGCTTAGGGTTTAGAGAAATCTATGAAGTTTCTGGAAGTGTGCAGCTGCTTGAATTCCAGACAGCTCTGTCTTGAGACAAATTCCAGCGTACTGTACTTGGATGATATTTCTGAAACACTAAAGTCCCTGCCCCCCTGTTTATCCACCATTTTCAGGGCCTGACCACGTCTGCATGCCAATCACACTACCATTTGCTTCCTGTTTTCCTTGGACCCTTTTTTGTCTGTATTTAGCTAATCTTAAGCAACTGCACCCATGAAATTATGGATTGCCATGTTAGTGTAGTGTCCTAATGAATATTAAAATGGAGACATAGTTATAGAAATTTAAAATGTGTCTGCCTATCATCTGGATCTGGAGCACCGTCAGAGATACAGACAGCTTCCAAAGCCAAATGCTGCTGCTGGGATGCTGCAGATGTAGCAGCTGGGGTGCTGGGGTGGGGACATGGGAGAGGGTCCTATTTGTTCGCTTGCACTCAGTTTAAAGGAAATAAACCAGTCTATTTTGTCAAGAGGGAGCCTGACTCATGTTCCCTGGAAAAATTCCCACTGCACCAAAGAAGGACATTTACAAAATCTTCTCCTACAGTCAGCAAGACCTTGCAAGCAACCGAGCTGGAATTAAACTCAGCTGAGGCTACAAAATGCCACTGGTGTTAGACAATTGAGGGTTTCTGCAGCAAGAACAGAATTCAAGAAAAAAAAGCAAACCAAGTTGTTGGAAAGCACCTACGCTGAAAAGCACCCGGGACGGGAAAGCTAAGGGAAGCTTCCAGCCACCCCAGCTGGGCCTGCAGAACGGTTTCTATTCTTTCCTGCCAGGGTTCTGGGAAGGAAGTGGCGGGGTTGTCTTTCTCAGTGTTTGAGTAGGAGGAACAATACAGCTTTATCAGAAAAAATGTCAAAAGCTTTTCAGGGGATTTTTTTTCCTCTGCTGTAAAACTGAATTCATACCTCTGTGAAAGAGCCTGGATTTGGTTTGGTAGATAACTCGGAGTGTTGTCCAATGGATTTGAAGAGAAAAAAATAAAAGCCTCCGAAACTATAACAGCCAAGACCATGGTGATAAATTATACGGGTTAAGTTGGTTGTAGATGCCTGTGAGAAGGAAGCGTCTACATGGGCGGGGTGTAGCTTAGGGGGCACCTGGGCTCCCCCAAGCACTGAAAAACTAAAAGTGCAGTAAAGAAAGTTTGCCTTTAGTTCTATTTTAATACAGCTCTCCATGGTGCTCAAGTCCCTCACCGAATGGCCCGACCTCACCTCTCCCACCACTGGGTACTGTGCCCAGCACCCTTACTAGCTCAGGTCCCTGGCTTGAGAGTGTCACCTGCCTCTCAAATTACAGTAGAATTAATAAATCATAGTACTGCTGTCTTTTCATGTCTTAAAACAAAAAGTTCCCTGACAAATATAGAGCAGGTACAGTCATTCTTCTTGAGGAGGCAGCATCTTCCCCAGTAACTGGAGTTCAGGCCCCAGTGCCTTTGCACATGGCCTTGGCCCACTGTGGCGGTGACAGCAAAGCACTCAGTGGCTGAGGAGTCGTCACAGAAACCCAAGGGGCATTTTCCTCCCTTTCCGCCAGGGAATTGAGGGAGTTGAGAGCTAGGAGGTCGCATTCTGGCTGTCAGGTTCCTCTCGCTTGTGGACAGGAGTTGGGTTTTGACGTGTTGGATCTTGGAGACTTGCAGTGTGGGAAGAGCTGGGCTGGCACTAGGGAGGGGACAGGAGAAGGATTCCCAGGGTGGAAAAGGGCTGTCACAGGTCCTCGAGCAGGGATGACCGGCATTGCTGCTGATGATGGGCCTGCATGGCCTGTGCCCCAGGCAGAGCCCTAGCCATGCTCCCCCTGAGGGTGGAGGCCTCAGGTGCCAGGCTGGGCCCGAGGGCGGACATGTCATCTTCAGCTCTAGAGTGGGCTGTGCACACCTCCCCGCATAGACCCAGGCTCAGATCCCCCTGCGTCCCTGGTTCTGTGCAGAAGGCTGAAGCAGGACCCTCTAAAAATAGCTGATTAATCACCAGCCTTAGCAGGCTCATGGGTTTTATCTAACCTGGGAAGATAATGGAACCACCTGCACATAATCACACCAGTTACAACTGCCGGGCAGCAGCGCCACCCCAGACAGAGCAGTTAAAACTCTGCCGCGTCCTTGAGGTGAAACGATCTCCCAGCTGCCCTGCGTTGCAGACTCGGCCTGGTGGCCCTGTCCTCCAGCCGGCTCCCCACCCTAGACAGCCAGCAGGTGCTGTCCAGGCGGGAGCCCTGGAAGACGTCCCTGGCTCCCCCCAGCTGCTGGCAGCGTCACCTCCTTGTGGGTTGGTCACCGAGGGCCCCCACTCCGCACACAGGCCGCTCTGCAGAGGCCTGGCTGGGGCACAGTGGGCCAGGGAGAGGTGGCAGAGGCCAGGAGAGGGCAGGATCCATGGCTCCCATCGCACACACTCCAGCCTGAGCCACAGTGGCGGGTCCGCACCCTGCGGGGAGCAGCTCACAAGCAGGGCACCAGGAACTGAGGGTAATGTAGGGCTGTACTTGTATCTGTACCTTATAGAACAACTTTACCCCTGCTAATACAAAGAAGTTGATAGGAAAATTGCAATTTAAATGTAATAATTTACCTTTAGTCCCTAGTTATTATATGCCTTTTCTATATCGTTTTTCAGGCTGGCCTTGGACTCACTTTGTAGCTCAGGCTGATCTTGGACTCATAGTGATCCTCCTACATCAGCCTTCTGAGTGCTGGCATTACAGGCATGTGCCAGCAAACTCGGCTTTCTATCTTCATTTTTTCTTTTATTTAAAATGTACTAGTACGTATTATTTTCTCAAATGAGGAAAGAAACAAATATCCACTAAGTAGTTATGAAAGGTTTTCCATTTTACTCCTAATACGAGAAATTAAAACCATCAATACACAATTTATTGCACATCAGAGTAGCGAAGATTTGAAAGTTGGGTTGGCAGAGCTTATAGGAAAACCAAGTAGGAAATGAACAAACATATGTCACACTCAGATATGGTGGATGCTGGGAAGAAAACTAAAGCAGGGCAAAGGCAGAGAGACAGTTGCTGTCTGTATGGAGAGTAGTTTAAATGGTTTTCTGAGCAGATGCTATTTGGGTGGAAACCTAAAGAGCTAAGAGAGAGAGAGCTTTCAAAGATCTAAGCAGAACATGTTCCAGAAAAACACAAGCACACAGTCCTGACCTGGGCACAGGCCTGTGAAGGTGGAGGAGCGGGTGAAGGCCGGCTTCCCAGCATCAGGGTTCATGAGGAGAAAGCCGGTCAGAAGTGAGGCTGGACAGCAGGTGTTGGGCTATCCAGGGCTCGGTGGACCAAGGTCCTTTGTGATTTGAGAGCAGGAAGCAATAATAGAATCTGAGCTTCAAAGCAGCCACTGAGGTGCTACAGAGAGCAGAGGTGGGGAAAGGAATGAGGCAAAGCAGAGCAGAGGAACCAGCGGGTGAACTGCAAGTCTACTGAACTGTGCGACTTTGAAGAAACCATGATTTCCAAGCCCTGCACTCCCAACCTGCTGTCCTCCATCCTCCCGACGGGAGCCATGATACCACTGTTCTCCAAGTGGATGACTTCCTTCCCCACACCACCACATTTTGACGAATAGAGACCCTTCAGTTTATCTAAAGAATGCAGAAAATCTGCCTCGTCAGTCCCTCTCCACACCACTGTGTCTAGCCAAGGTACTTTTGACAAGGAAAAAAAAAAAATCAAACCCTCCCCCGTGACTACCAGAAGGGAGGGGATGCATCTAGCTGTCATATGCCTGCCTGGGATGGCTGAGCAACTGAGGCAGTGGCTTCCTGCCCCCTGAGCACCTTGGCCTCGTGGCAAGAGCTGGGCTTGAATGGCAACCAGGATGGCTCTCTCTGCTTCAGCCAGCAAGGGAAAGGACCCTGAGGAAACGAGCCCTAGCTGGTGTCCCCATGATCCTAGACCCCAAGGGCCCCAGTAGGCATTGCCAGGGCTCCCAGGGTATCTCTGAGCCCTGGGATCTCATTCTTTAGATAAAGTGAAGGGTCTCTATTCATCAAAATGTGGTGGTGTGGGGAAGGAAGTCATCCACTTGGGTAGTCTGGATCTCAATCTGCTGTCTTCCCAGCTAGCCAGGCTGCCTCTTCTATGGAAGTTCGGCCAAACTGCCACCACGGCTGCACCAGGGGTCCTCAAGCTCTCTGGGAGACATCTGCCTGGCTGCGACAGGTGACTCTGTCTCATGGTCTCTCCTCATGACTCTGCCCCCTCGTCATTCTGTGCATGGTTTCCAGCAGGGTCACAGCCTGCTCGGAGCTGCAGGCTTCCCCTGCAGCTGGGGGAGGAGGATGCCCCGGAACTGATTCCCTGAGCCACAGCACAGGCCCACACAAGGCCTCCCCGGTATGGTCCTGTAAACCACCCACGATTCTTATCTCCCATAATATGGGCAGAGAAAAGTTGGTGACACTAGGGCTGCCAGCCCTGAAGAGCTCCAGGGACCTGCAGCAACCAATAGGATTGGCCAGCAGAGATCAGCAGAAATGGGTGACAACAGTGGCAGAGACCTGCAGAGAACCCTAGCAAGGCAATGGAAGCCAGAAGACTTCGAAAGGGGAGTTGGTGGGGTGGCTAGGTGCCGCCTGGAGCTGCCAAAGGTCAGTGGCACTCAGACCCTGTAGCCATGACAGCCATGGCACCTGAGCCACAGAATCACAAGTGGAGCTGCACTTTGCCAATCCGTGATTTCCAGATGTACTGAGCGAAAGAACCCTCAGTTGCTGGGGACACTTTGCCCTGATAGCTCTACCCCCTCTGCTTCTACTCCAAGCCCTATTCCCAAACTTCACTCTTTGCATGGAGCCACATTTTATATTTTCTTTTGGAGACAGAACTAGATCACACCACTGATCTGCTGAATCTTGGCGGTTTCCTTGACCATTTAAAATAGAATCGATATTTCCCTGTCATTCCTATAAAGACTTATACCGTGATAGTGAACCTATGACGTGTGTGTTACTGTGCTCTTCTTTTAAGACAAAAGATAGTAATCTGTTGGGGTCTGGCCTAATCTCCCAAATGGGTGAATGGCCAAGGCCCAAAGGAATGAGTCAAGCAGCATGGTCTTTAGGGCTCCAGGAGGACTAAAATCTTCAGCAGAGCCCATAACTCTGCAAGTTGGGGCCAACTGACCCTGGGCAGCCCATATTTAAACAAGCAAGGAGTTGAGTGGAAAATGCAGGAAACCTGAGCAGGATCGTGGGCGGGGTTCAAAGACCCCTCAGAGCAACAGACATGCTAATAAGGAAAAGGAAAGTCTCCAGGTGGCCCCATCTGAGGCCTATCTTGTCCCCTGAGGCGTCTCCTCATTCTCAGTTCAACTGTGCAGGGCCACACCACAGCCCTGCACGCATATTCAGCTTCAACTGTGGCTCCGACAGTGATCAGTAAGTTGTTTCTTTGTAAGCTAAAATCTCAGTGTTCAGGTTGACTCACAGTATTGGCATTTTGCAATAAATGAATGGGTTTGGGCTGCAGTTTAGCACTGGGTCTCTGACGGTTCTCCAGCATTGCCTGACACAGCCTGGCCTAAGGACGCTCAGACCCCTTCTGTGCGCGTGCAGCCTTTTGTACTTTACAGTCTTGTGGTTGGTGTGGTTCCCATGGTTACGGCTTGTTTATGAGAAAAGGGAGGTTCTTTGAACCCTTTAAGATCAGGAAGAAGAAGCCAAAGAAATTCAAAACACAAGAAGTCTCCGAACGACCTCCCTTGCTTTGAAGGCGGAGGAAGAGGCCACCTGCAATCAGGTCCAAGAACCGGGAACACCCTGCAGGGCCTTGGAGATGTCCAGCAGCAAGGAACCGGCTCTGCCGGGCGGCCTTGGCAGTGAATTCTCCCCCGAAGCCCCATAGAAAAGCCCACACTTCCCCTGTGAGGCCCTACGTAGAAAGCTGAGCTGAACCCCAGGACTTCCAAACCACAGAACTCTGTGTTCATAAGGGGGCGTTGCTTTAAGTTTGCTGTGATTTGTTCGCAGCAGGAAATGAGT